CATAAAGAGAAATAGCTTGTACAAACAAGAGATTACTGGCGTTCGGTACTACTGCAGTCATTTTGACCTGGGTATATTCCCTATTTTTTCTTAGCCATTTAAAGGCCTTGTGAGCTTTGCAATATTTATTTTTGTCTCTCTCCAAGCAGAAGCAACAGCTGCTATAAAGACAGTGAAAACATCAGGCTGGGGATTTCATCAAGAACTTCCAACAGTGAAGTCTAATCATGACATGCTTAGTGGGACTAAACAAGGAAGAATCCAGTTTGGATTTATTGAATTCTATTATATATTTTGGAGTTCTTATAAAATGTGTGCGTCCATAGCCAGAATTTGAACTGAAGCAGGCTCTTAAATAAAATATGAGTCATATAACACATGCAGTAAAGAGCATACAGTACAATCTAGAAGTACAGTAAAATTCTGGGAGAACAATGAGCTTGATTTGTGTTTCATGAATCTTCATCACCACCACTACCACCACCATCATCATCATCATCATCATCATCATCATCATGGGCTATCACTCACGATTGGGAATAATTGTCTTCCAAGTGTTGGTGGTGGGTCTGTAGGTGACTGTAGAGACCTATTCTTGATCCATCTGTAAAATGTGCTATAGATTCTACATAGGGTATTTATTATTGGCGTGCTTCTGCCTAATCAAATTATTTCTACAGGTTTGCTGCAGCCAATGTATGTTCATCTTTGCATGCTTGATTATTTTAATCCTTTATATTTTTTCTTTCAGGCTAACTTCCAAGAAGATTTATTTAAAACAGATGTGTTATTGTTTTCACAATTGATAAAAACTTTTTAAAAAGAATTAGAAATAGTTGCAAAACCCCTTTGAAATAAAATGGAGTTTGTAACTTATGCCCCATTTATTTCAAAGAAATAAAGGGCCAGTACAAATGCATAATGTCATGCCACATGATTACTCAGCACTTGTTGATTCACAGTTGAATGAATTCAGGGACTTCACTAAAATGTGTTGCATTTGAGGTGATTGTAGAGTCTTACATTTTATTCGTCACACTATGACGGCTTTTAGAGAACAGCACTCATGCTCAGAATCCTAACTGTGGTTGATCAGCTAGACAAACTAAATGTGGCATAGCGGCAATATGTGGAAAACGTAATAGAAAAATAGTGCGTGCCTGCTGAATCTCTTTTTACTGGGGAATTTTTTCTACTTCAGCCTTCTGATTAGTTCTTCTAGATGTCCATGTCACCATGATATCTGAATAACCAAAGAGACACTGACTTCACCATAGTATCTGTATAAATATAACATGACACTGACCTCTTCACAATATATGGGTAATGTCTGGAAAGACTTGGCTGCCCACTTCCTTGAGAACTGGGGATTTTAAGAACTCAAAATGTCTTTCCAACTACTGGATCTTCTAGTATGAAAAGTTGCAAGCAGTTGTAGCCAAATTTTACTATGTCTCAAAAAGAACTACATAATGCAAACTTATCCATCGGTACAGTGGAAAAGTTTGATTTAAACAAATGTACTTCTGTTGTACCAGTATTGTTAATTGCAATGTGAAGTGAACTAGAAGTTGCCAATAAAGAGCCATGGAAAAGTTTGAAACATTTCTTGAGAACCAAGCCTTAATGTTAAGGAAGAGAAATTTTATAGGGAGTTAAAAGATTTATAATAAATGACTCTCCATTTCTTGTTTGTGGAACTCAACATTTAATTAGATATATTAAGGTATCGATTCTGAACCTTTGGTCCTTCAGATGTGTTGGACTTGGTTGTCAAAATGCTTGCCTATTAACTATGTTGGTTTGGGTTTCTGGGAGTGGATCCAAAACATCTGCAGGACTAGAGGCTGGGAACCACTATATTAAGGCAAAAATGGAGTCATCTCTCTATTGTCTGAACAAGTGTGAATTATGTTGGTTTCTGCTTACTGGTTTTACAAGCAAACATTGTTGCATTTGAAGTTCATCTAGTGTAGTCAACCCACAATTTCAATTATTATTGTCAGGAGGATTTCCATTAGTCTAAAGGATTATGGAAGTCATCAGATAAAACCCAGAAGCTATCCTTTGTTTCTAACAGATGGTCTGCATTGTAGTAAATTATTTGCAGAGGGTAAAAAAGTCCATTAAATATCTTTTTGTATCCAGATTTCTGGATGAAATCTGATAGGTTATAAGGGGTAAGCAAATTCAACAGAAGCACTAAATGATTATAGTATTTCTGGGTGTTTTATATCTAGTTCAAAGCTTCGAAAGTTGTTTTGTTGACAACAATTTAAGAATGAAGTTGATGCAATTGAAGGAAACGTCCATTGGTTGTAGTATCCTCTTTTATGATCCTGCTTGAATTCTGAGCACTTCTCTTTCTCCTACCATCTCCATTGGATATGGTGGAAATATGGCTGAAGGTGGGCTCTTCAACCACAGCAAGGCTAGGATGGCTTCTTTCTTGGTGTCCTTTCATTGACAGATGAAAACATCTCCATGTTTTGGAGAACTTATTGCTAGGGCTTTTAATAGTGCGACACTCTGCTGATCTTGTCTTTTGTCTTTTTAATTGATCTATTTTAAGTGGTTTTAATTCTATAGATGATGATAATGATAGCAACAGCATACAGTACTTGATGGTGAGTTTTGCATTACACTGAATGAGGTTTTGCAGTTGCTATGAAAAACCACAGAATGTAGTGATTTTCAAGATTTTTTTAAAGCCTAGATATTCTGATGTGAGATTTCAAAGCAATATTTCGTAAGATCTCTGAAGTGCATTCATACTAAGTTTCAGCAATGAGAATCATTGGAAAGAAGTTGTAGAACTAAATATGATTGTTGTAAATAAAATTGGATATTCTACTTTTATCACTAGTTAATGGAACATTGTGATGAAATAAGCATTTGTATATTGTTTGCACTAAGGTATGCACTTAAGAAGAAGTAACACTGTCTCCGTATGAGGAAAAAATGTTGTGTGTATAGCAGTCTTAAATCTGTGGAAAAGAAACAAAGGAATTGATCGAAACTTTGCAGTTACTAACTGAAAGGTATTGCAACTTGAAGACATTGAAGGGAAAAGCCCATTTTACAAATAACATTTGCTGTTACAAATGTAGTCCACTTCATCTGGTTCCAGTGTCCAAAGTGTTTTGAATGCTGGAAACTCACTTCATCTCTTAAATAAACTTGTTGACCCTGCTATTTCTGGAATTGGTGTGTTTTTTTCTGCTGACTCAAAGCTGATTTAACAGGCATTAAACATTTATGTAACTATACAATTAGCATAAAAACTATAAATAAACTTTGGAGAACTTGTTTAGAAGTTTAACATTGAAGTCTTTTCTAATGCTTACCATCATGATCCACTTTGAAGTAGAAGGGGTTGTAACTCTTGATTCAGGAAAGGGCCTTGCAAATGATCTAAGATCATCTAGCCCAGCATTTCTCAACCTGGGTGTCAGGACCCCGGGGGGAGGGGGTTACGAGGGGGTGTCAGAGGGGTCACCAAAGACCATCAGAAAATGTAGTATTTTCTGTTGATCATGGGGATTCTGTGTGGGAAATTTGGCCCAGTTCTATCATTGGTGGGATTCAGAATGCTCCTTGGTTGTAGGTTATAAATATAAATCACAGCAACTACACTTCCCAAATGTCAAGGTCTATTTTCCCCCAAACTCTACCAGTGTTTACATTTGTGCATATTGAGTATTCACACCAAGTTTGGTCCAGATCTATTATTGTTTGAGTCCACAGTGCTCTCAGGATGTAGGTGAAGTACAACTCCAAAATTCAAGGTCAATACCAACCAAACCCTTCCAGTATTTTCTGTTGGTCATGGGAGTTCTGTGTGCCAAGATTGGTTCAATTGCGTTGTTGGAGTTCAAAATGCTCTTTGATTGTAAGTGAACTATAAATCCCATCAACTACAACTCCCAAATGACAAAATCAACCCCCCCCCCAACCCCACCAGTATTCAAATATGGGTATATTCGGTATTTGTGCCAAATTTGGTCCAGTGAATGAAAATACATCTTGCATATCAGATATTTACATTATGATTCATAAGAGTAGCAAAATTACAGTTATGAAGTAGCAGTGAAAATAATTTTATGGTTGGGGGTCACCACAGCATGAGGAACTATATTAAGGGGTCATGGTATTAAGAAGCTTGGGAACCACTGATCTAGGCTATTCTAGCTGGCATTATCTTTCTGTTACTTCAGCTAATAGGCTTTCCATGCTTTCCTCCTTAAGATGCTATTAACTGGAGATATAGTTGAACCTTGGGTTGTTGTTACACAAAAGAACATTTTGAGTTTTTACATCCAAATTGGATTATTCAGTTATCCTTCTACTTGAACCTAGTGAACAATTAAAACAGTGCCCTTGTAGAATATTTATTTATTTACAGTATTTGTATACCGCTTATCTCACCCTGAAGGGTGAGATAAGCAGTTTCCACATACACAAAGCAGTTTCCACATACAAAAGAGTAAGGTTGCTAGACTTGTTTGATTTTCTCCTTTTGAAAGAAACTCCCTTGGAGGAGAGTCTGCTTTTTGCTGTCCCATTACTTTGGTTGCAGCAAGGCATGTCAAGGCAGTGGCAACTTTCCCTTTGAAAACACAGAAGTCATCAGGTATTCAGACATGCCTTCGGCATGTCTGAATCAGAACTCCTTGGTCCCCAGTAAGGCAGAGAACAGAATTAAAGACAAACATAGTTGGCCTTATGGGTGTCTTTCTGTTTGTGCAAAAGCTTTTGATCCAACCAAGACCTCTGATAATAGAAATGGGACAATTCTGTTTTATCTGTATGTAAAAGCATCCTCTAGAACATAGAAGAAAGGAAAAATATTTCAATATTGGTTGAAACTAAGCCAAACTAATCTTTTCATAGTGTTGAGTTTGTTTGTTTTGCTAACTCTTTGCACTCTGTAATGTTGTTTCATCAATGAAAACAATTTCTGCAGATGTAAACATTGTGTAATTTGTTTGTAATTGCAGAGTGCCAACTGCTGCCTTGGAATAACTTTACAAATGAATGCAATATTCCTGGAAACTTTATGTGTAGCAATGGACGTTGCATCCCAGGTGCATGGCAGTGTGATGGGCTACCAGACTGCTTTGACAAAAGTGACGAGAAGGAATGCCGTGAGTGTCCTTACTTTTTATTTCACACCCTGAAGAGAAAGCCTTAGGAGCATAAGTCAAAATCAGTTTTGGAGATGGATATTCCAATATATGTCCCTTGGCAATGGCTTATTTAATTCCATTGACTGTTTATTTCTTCATTCGTGCTATGACATGTTGTTCTATTTATCTTTTTCCTTTCCCGCAAGTAACATAAAATGTTGTATATTCTAACAATTCAATGAGAGTTTTGTAATTTAAAAACATGTATAATTTGCTCATGTTCAGGATCAATATCATGGTTAAACTGTAGTTATAACTATGGTTGGATCTACACTGCCATATAATGAAGTTTTAGAATGCAGATGAACTGCAGCGAACTGGATTATATGAGTCTACACTGCAGTTAATCTGCATTCTGAAACTGCATTATATGGCATTATATGCATTATATGGCAGTGTAGATCCAGTCTATGTCTGGCTTATTCAGATACGAAAGCATGAGATACACCATGCTCTGGGTTATTTTCAGTAAATATGCTTTTCTTTCCACTCAACCTGTTTTCCATTTTAATTTCCAAAATTAATTTGGGAGTTGGCATTTTTTCTGGGTTACTTGATGTGCAGATACTACTTGAGCGTATCTGCACATCCTTTACAGAGAGTAAAGACTTTCTGTAAATGTTTCAGAATTCAATATTAATGTCAAAAATACATAGTAGCACTGCAGATTGAATAAACTAAACATCAAAGAAGAATGTTCCATTAGTAGTTCTTCACTTATTCTTTGGCTCCATCTGCCATATAATCCAGTTTCTGATCCCAGATTATCTGATTTGAACTTGATTATATGGCAATGTAGACTCATATAATTCAGTTCATAGCAGATAATATAATATCATATACTGGTTTATATGGTAGCATAGATCCAGCCTTTGGATAACCTAGACTTTATTTGAATAAAATTTCTTGCTTGACATTACAAAATGAGTACTGTTCTTCTATCTTAGATGTGACTCAGGTATGTTGCTGGCATAAAAGAGCCTTGGCTCAAGAGTTTTTACAAACTGGGTAAAATTAAGATTCATCTATCTTCAAAATTCCATCCTCTTGGTTTCTGGCATGCTTCCAATGAAATGCTCAAGGCACCAGGCAAACTTTGTACTGAAACTTTCAGCTTCTGCTGCAGTCAGATAAGGGAGAAGGGAAGCTGATGGAGCTGAGGGAAGAATCAGTCAGTGTGTGTTCTAAATTTCAGAAGTGTGTTCAAAATCAAACAATTGCTCAGCAACTGGATGCATGGGAAGGGAATAACACTTGAATTTGACTCATCATTGATATAAACCTCAAACTCTAGCTGACCTGTTGTTGTTGTTGTTGTTGTTGTTGTTGTTGTTGTTGTTGTTGTTGTTGTTGCTGCTGCTGCTGCTGCTGCTGCTGCTGCTGCTGCTGTGTGTGTGTGTTTTCAAGTTTTACTTATTACAGAAAGATAAATGGATTCTGTAACTTGCATCAGTTTGGGTCTTCACATTTTTCTTCCCTTTCAGTCCTGTTCCACTGATCTAATATAGAATATACCGTCTATGTTTATATTATTAAATTACATTATATTAAGTAGGAAAGTTATAATGTAACTGTTGAATTCCCTTGCTTGGATAGCTACCTGCTGGGAATACTTTATCTGGAGATCATGCACTGAGCAAAGGGTTGGACTTCCATTATTCTACAGTTGTAAGATTCTCTGATTCAGAGACTCTATGAAGCAGAGAATTCCATCATCATCATCTCCCTCCCTCCCTCCATCCTCTGGCATCTGTTTATTCTTCTGTGACAAGGACATCATGAATCTGTTTAATGAAGAGTGAAGTCTTGATTGACAGCTTCCATATGTTGAGAGAAGTCTCTTGCTTTTTCTGCTCAGACATAATCTCCCCTTAAAAAATAATAATAATAATAAATGTATTATAATACCACTTCATAGCAAAGGAACTGTTTTTTTTTTTTAAATTAGAAAAATCTCTTCTGAATATTTGGTTGACATGTTCTGCCAACTGTAATATATATGTGAGCTACCAGTATAACATCAAGTTCTTGTGAAATTGCACTGGCATAGCCAATAATATTCTGCTATTCTTAGAACTCGTGTTTGCTGGCACAGCAAACTTTACAATCAAGCCATAAAGCGTAAGCTGCCTGCAGTTCTCACTAGGAGCAAATTATCTGAACATGTGATGACTGAATTTAAGAGTTTAAAAATATTCCCATATGAAGTGCAATTTCAATTTAGAGTTTCCTACATTTAATTGTCATATATATTGTGTGTTAACCCTTTAATTTCATTTTTGCAAGAGGCAGCCACAGACTCAACAAATGTGATATGCCTTGCAAAGATCTTTTCTTTAATGTCTGTACTGGCTACTTAGCATTTACATCAAAACAATGACATTAAAACACTCCTCTGTTCTAATTTTAATTGCCTAAAGTTGTGTAGTCTCACAGTTTGACAACAAAGAATAAACATTAGCAGCCAAGAGTGGCTTGAATTTCCTTTTCAGCTCATAATTGCATCTTGAATTAGCTGTGCTGGAATTGTCATTATGGAACCAGAGATGATCAGCTCTGTCCAAAATTAGGTGCAATTTTATTTTTCCTCGTCAACACCAAAGTCTCCTAATTGAATAAAATTATACATGTAAATAAAAATTATCACTAAAGAGACTCCTCTATTCATTTTGATATATTGTTGTTATTCTCTTTTTGATTTCAATATCTGCCATTCTCCATTTCTTACAAGTTGAAAAGGGACGATTAATGAAGTGTTACTTGGCAGGACTTATGAATGTGATGGCAGTAGTCAGTAAATGACCACAGTCTCTGTTTAGGATTTTTTTTTGTCATGGCAAATAAAATCAATCCAGTAAGATTCGGGTAGTAATGAATGTAGTAACTGCCAATAAAATTTAAAGAGCTTCAAAGCCTGTGTTAATAAAACTTTTTTCTTCGGTTGTATTGGATTAAGTCTTGGGATTGTCAGCTGGCATTTCAGCAGAATGATGTACCCTTCCCCACTTTCTTTTCTAGTTGGACTAGATTATAAACGGTTTTAGCTAGGTCACCTTTTCTTCACCCCACAGTGATAATCATCTTTTCTTTCTGTCTTTCCCTATCTTGGTCGGCTAACTTAACAAGTCTCATGAATAAATTTAAAACTGAGTTGAAAAAAGAACAACTTGGGAGCAGGTGATTCATTTCCTGTACTGCCTTGTAGTTGATAGGTGAGGCAAAGAAAACAGAAGAGCCTCTGCTGATATGTTTTGAGCTGCAAATATCTCTGAAAGGATGAATATTTCTTTTTGTTCCCTTTATAGAATTTCTTCCCCCAGTGTAAAACAAGAGCTTTTCTTGCGTTCCAAAAGGGAGAAAAGTGACACAAATAGTAACATCAACTAAATCAATCCAATGGAACATACCACAAAACAAAACAAAGAAACCCAGATGCCTGTAAAATTAGAAATCTTTGTGATGGGGCTCCATTGGGTAAGAATAGTCGATATTTTGGATATTACCACATGTCACACAGCCGTTATTTTGTACCATTCATGTCACTTGTTTTTCCAAAATAAGTATCAGATCCAGTAACTAGTTTTTCAAATAAAGAGACCTGTTACTAGAATCTTAAGCACAGTTCTCATGTGCCACCTATGCATTTATGAATTCAAGAGATTTGGGATATTCATTTCCTTATCAGTTCTAGCTGCAAGTTTAGGATTTTAGCCTCTGTATCATATTTTGGACAGAAATGGAGCTTAATAATTCTATGTTCCATGCCCACAGATGATTTCACTTTAGAATGCTACAGTGCCTACAGTTAACTTACTTAAGTGTGTCAGATTTAAGACTTGCTTATAATTTTAAAATACAGGGTTAGTAAAAATGAATAGGCCAATAAGAAAATTAATTTTAGACGAATGTATGTTTACTGTAACCAAACCACAGCTACGTAGCGACAGATAAACTATCAAAGTTTTTTTTTGAGCAACACACATGTACGTTAATGCCGCTAGGCGTCGCTAGGGGTCGCTGTTTTCAAAATGGCGGAATCAAGCAAAGAGAAGGCGTTTTGTGTGATGACATTTGCTAAAACAATGTCAGTAATTACGGTCCAGCGAGAATTTCAAGGGTTAGGGTTAGGGTTAGGGTTAGGGGTTAGGGATAGGGTTAGGGTTAGGGTTAGGGTTAGGGTTAGGGTTAGGGTTAGGGTTAGGGTTAGGGTTAGGGATAGGGTTAGGGTTAGGGTTAGGGATAGGGATAGGGTTAGGGTTAGGGATAGGGTTAGGGAGGGTTAGGGATAGGGTTAGGGTTAGGGTTAGGGTTAGGGATAGGGATAGGGTTAGGGTTAGGGTTAGGGTTAGGACCTCAACGAACACCTTCCCAGACGTTGCTGCATTCGATGCCATTACGTCGGATGTGCTGCAACGGATGTGGAATGAACTGGACTATCGCTTGGACATCTGCCATGTCACACGGGGCGCCCATATCGAACATCTCTGAAGGTGAGACAAAACTTTGATAGTTTATCTGTCGCTACGTAGCTGTAGTTTGGTTACAAGAAACATACATTCGTCTAAAATTAATTTTCTTATTGGCCTATTCATTTTGACTAACCCTGTATTCAAAATTAGGAAGGTGGTTAGTTTATTATAAGAAACCACAATTTTCATAGAGAGTGGTATCATCAGGTTGGTGTGAGTTTGCTGGGCAGTATGTCCATGTTCCAGAAGTATTATCTCATGATGTTTCACCCACATCTATGGCAGGCATACACAGAGGTTGTGAGGTCTGTTGGAAATCAGGCAAGAGAGGTTTATATATCTGTATCTTCTCTGTGTAGTCTGACATGGTAGTTGTTAGAGTGGTCCAGCATTTCTGTGTTTTCAAATAATATGATGTGTCCAGGTTGGTTCATCAGGTGCTCAGCTATGGCTGACTTCTCTGAATTAGCCTGCATTGCCTTTCATGTT